TCAGTTAACTCTCTTGCCTCGGGTAGATGTGATTCTCAGTGATCAAGCCATATATTTTCCATCACTCTCCAGAGATTGAGATTATATGCATCAATCCCCGCAATTGGGATGCGATGACATGCATCAACCTAGTCAGTGAGCATGACCACCCGATCCCGTTAGTCGCCTCTTACAGCAAGCATAGACGCCCTATGGTGACGTACTTGATAGGGAATCAAAGGCGATATGACAAGCATCATATCAATAAGTATTTCACAACAGGCGTCAGTTTCGCGGCCTAATAAAGTTTGTATTTTTTTTGGTCAAATCCAATTTTCAAGTGTATGCTTTCTTTTATTTATGTCAACATTAATAAGAGGCATATTGGTCTGTGTCTAGGCTATCTAAACGTTGTAAGTATTTCAGTTTGAGTGCGTGAGTATGGTTTTACGGCGCTTTTAGCAATATTCCTGCAATATCACGGCGGGGTACACCATAAATGGGCTTCATTGTACCCATGTGGGGAATCGAACCCGGGTCTTCGGCGTGACGAGCGAACGATTTAACCACTAGGCTACCCGACTGTCTCTATTTCACTTTGAGAAACTGAGAACGTCAAGGCGTCAATATGATAATCATAATTATAAGATGTGAGTAATAAGACAAAAGATGAGGTGGTGACGGATTTAAATCAGTGAGTGAGTAAGAGTTAGATTTTAACGCCACTTCCCACAGTATTCCAATTATATCACGGCGTGTCAGCTGAATGTGGGAAAAGCCCACAAAAGTGAGGAGGATCTTAGACATTTACCATTTTGAAACTCACGAGCGCGGATATGGTACTTGCAAACCTAGAAACATAGTCGGGGCGAACCGGAATTCGAACCCACAATCAAAAGTTCTGACGTGCCCAAGGGACACAACTCTGCACAGCGAATTGCGGCGCCTTCCTTAAACGACATGGACACCTGTGCGCCCGATTTAAATCAAACTTTGCTATGATTGCTTATTGACCCAAGACTAGTTTACCTTTGACACCACTTGAAGCAACACAGTATGTCGCAAAGTAGGCAGAAATCCAGTCAACCACTATCAAAGCATGTACATCTATTTGGAGACTGGAGTTGTTTTAGATCCCAAGGATGACGTATGTGAGATCATGGGTCATCCTTGCAGCGACAGATGTGCGGGTCTGAGCACGCCTCATGTTCCAAGATGCACATGCACTGATGCATTTATACACAGGTGTGTTTAAATAGATACAACCGTTTACAGATTGCATGCGCTAAAAGACATGCCTAAGTATTGCCTATGTTGTAGAAAGGAGACTATTATGCAGTGAAAACCCCATAGCTGCTAATTCTAGAACATCGTGTTTTCTGACGGTTACACTTCCCACTCCCCAGTAATGATTGGTTAATGCGGACTTGTGTTATTGTTTCATTAATAATCAGTAATAATATTATGAATTTACAAACGTTATTAACATGTACAAACAAAAACTTTCCCCCTTTCTGTCTATGTGTATGTCTGTCTCTCTCTCTCTCTCTCTGACGCGTGAAGATCCGGGGTAGAATAAGTCTTCAGCTACCCATGCTTGTCGTAAAAGGTGACTTTGCTTGTAAAGAGGCGACTAACGGGATCGGGTGGTCAGGCTCTCTGACTTGGTTGATGTATGTCATCGATCTCAATTGCGTGGATCGATGCTCATGATATAAATCACTGGATTGCTGGTCCAGACTCGATTATTTACAGGCCGCCGTCATATAGCTGGAATATTGCTGAGTGCGGCGGTTACTACGGAGTAATGAATCAGAATAAGATATAATTCTGCGTGATGTTATAAACTTGATAAATTATCCTTAAAACAGTTTTACAAATGTAAAGCACGTAAGAAGTAACTTCAAGGTAATTAGATCGACATGCCACAAGTGTTGTTGTCTGTAACGACAGCAAGAGCTGCCTACGCTGTAACACCATCATGCAACACCATCAACAGCTTTCAAATACTTACACAGTTTTGAAAATAGTTAAGCACTTTTAAAAAAACTGATAAAAGAGTTGTATTCACAGATAACTGACGTTTTGTGTGGTCTTTGGTTGTCGAAATCACTGAACAAAAAAAGATGGGCTGGTGTTTTTTAAAGATGTATATAAGTACAGGTATCATGGAAAACAAATGGTATCTCGCAACTTAAGCTGAAATATATCAAAGACACCGACAGGGTTTAGATTACGTTTGTGTTTCGAAGGGTAAACACATTTCTTTCCATTCAGCGCTGGAAGCTTTGTTCTTTGTAGAATACCATCACACACTGGACCAAAATGGCTTAATCTGTAGGGAACGATTATGCTTGACGGTTTTGGTAGCTATATCATGGCGGCGACGCTATGGATGGGTTTCATATAGCGTATCCATGTCAGAATAGAACCCAAACCGAGTCGCACGGGCGAACAACCTCGACTGCAGCAGACCCAAACAGAGGAAACTTTCGCAAACAGTGACGGCAGCAACTGGTCCCAAGGTGCTCGATAAGAGTCTCTCATTGTTCTGGGTTACAACATTAAATCTTGTAAATCTTGTAAACATTTTCATGGGAGACATGCAGAGGACAAAATGATGTCAAATGCAATTCCCTAATGTGTCTTGTTAGGTGAAAAATTGACTTGCCTTTGCAAGTGTTTGTGACGGGAGTCACCGGTGGGGCAAGATATGCTCACATTTTTGCCAACACATGAGATTATCACTTTCTACCTTTAGACCTGTAAATGAGAATTTTAAAATAAAGCTTTGAATAATCACTTTAAGAACATATTTAGAATAATGAAGATATTTATTGCAGCAGAAAGCAGTTACTAGATTACCAGAACTATGTTTTAACAGTATTCCAGTTATATCACGGCGTGTCAGCTTAATGTGGGAGGAAAGCCCGAAGTGATGCAGGTCTCAGACGTTTTACCACTTCGGTGAAACCCACGAGCACGGGTATGGTGCTGACAAACCTAAAAAAACATAATCGGGGGGAACCGGGATTCGAACCCACAATCATAGGTAACCCTTGCACAGCGAATGGCGGCGCCTTAGACGACTGGGCCACCCGTGCCCCCCGCCTGTTTTTGAGATACTCATTGATATGAAGCATGTCAAATCGCCTATGATATCCGTATGAAATAAATCACCATTGAATGACCATTTGTTGTTTGTTTCGTTTTTTGCCACCATCGAACAAGAATAGATACTTATTTTGCCCGCAGTTTATAAAAAAAAACATTGTAATTTTTATACAAACCTTTTAAGTAATACTCCAAATGTGCAATGTCCGGATTTGAAAATAATAAAAAATAAAAATATAATAAAGATAAATATTTTCTCGTCGATTGATCCTTCTTCTAAATAACATTGGACAAACTTATGATAATATACGGGAACCTGTACGGTAATGGTATTTACCGTCTAGGTTACAGGTATCTGACATTCTTATTGTGCCATGTATTCTTAGACATCAAACACGCCGAGGTTAACCATCTCCATACACTCGAACTGCAGACCGCTAAACAATGCATCGAGCTTCGTTGTGTATAGACGTTGCAAATACTCCCCTAGCCGCCCATCACAATCATCGGGCTCCCTGCCGATTAGTCATTGTTGATGAGAGGGGGAACTTCAGAATGCTGGCGCTGCCTCATAGTTATGCTCCTTGCGCAATCGACATTTTCACTTCAGTCGATAGTGCCGGTTTATCACACAACCGTATTGGGTTATAGAATATAGATAACCATGATTGTTGTGGTAGTCAGGCTCGGTGACTTGGTTGATTACGTCTTTGTATCTCAATTGCGTTAATTGATGCATTAACTATCCATATATTAAAATAATATAATAGCGCTGCTTTATTTGTTTGTATTAGGAACTCCCCGATTATGTTCGTTTTTGAGACACAAATATCATGTATACTTGTCTGAATGGGATTCCCGGTAAGGATATACGTCCCCAGCAGACAATGCTTGTCGTAAGAGATGACTAACGGGATCGGTAGGTCAGGCTCGCTGACTTGATTGATGCATGTCATCGTATCCCTCTTGCGTAGATCGAATATTTACAGACCGCCGTGAAAAAGCTGGAATATTGCTGAATGCGGCGTTAAACAACATACTCACAAATCTTCTACAACAGTGAAGACCTGTCAATCCGAACGGTGTCGCCCAATCTTTAAAGGCGCCGCAATTTGCTGTTCAGAGTTGCGTCCCTTGTGGACGCCAGGATCCTATGATTGTGGGTTCCAATCCCGGTTCGCCTGAATATGTTTCTAGGCTTGTCAGCACCATACCCGAGCTTGTGGATGTGAACGTCTGAAACCTGCATCACTTCTTGCTTTCCTTCAACATCAAGCTGACACGCCGTGATCTGACTGGACTGCTGTTCAAAGTAGTGTCTCACTCAACTCATCGTTTGGATGTTTCATTAAGCAACAGTGTACAGAGTGGCGTCCCTTTGCCATGTACATATTCACTGATCTTAGAATCCCACTTCCGTCTTTAAGCTATCACAAGTAACGTAAATAGAGCCTGAAACCAAACTCACTCACTTTTAAACACCATTGTCATTCGCTTTAAAATCCGACTTAACACAGAACAAAACGGAATTCCATCAATGGCTTGATAGATTTTACAAGTGTTAAGTAAAATGCCTAAAACCAACGCCACACATCTACTTGGAACATTTGTTTATGCCATTTACTCTTCAATCAATTATTTCATAAATACCGAGTTAATGCATCTTGATAAACATCATAAAAGTACCAAATGCATTCCATCCCCACGCTGAAGCAGATACCCGACTCGTTTAAACTGCGTATGTGTACTCACACAACAAATACTTTATATTCCAGCGAGGTGTACTGCGTCTCACTGTTGAACTATTTTGACTAAAATAATATCTGTGTTTGTAATCTCGCCTCAGCAATGCTGGCAAACTAACAAATGACACTTGAGGTTTATTATTAATAAGGCTGTAAATAGCTTCAAACTGGCGCGGGGCACACGAGGGAGGGGAGCAGTGTGCTGATTTGGGTGTTGTGTTGGGACACGTGGAGAGAGGCAGTGTTGGGACACGTGCATGGTGGCAGTGTTTGGACACGTGGATGGTGGCAGTGTTGGGACACGTGGATGGTGGCAGTGTAGGGACACGTGGAGAGAGGCAGTGTTTGGACACGTGGAGAGAGGCAGTGTTGTGACACGTTGATGGTGGCAGTGTTGGGACACGTGGATGCTGGCAGTGTTGGGACACGTGGAGAGTGGCAGTGTTGGGACACGTGGATGGTGGCAGTGTTGGGACACGTGGATGGTGGCAGTGTTGGACACGTTGATGGTGGCAGTGTTGGGACACGTGGAGAGTGGCAGTGTTGGGACTCGTGGATGGTGGCAGTGTTGGGACACGTGAATGGTGGCAGTGTTGGGACACGTGGATGGTGGCAGTGTTGGGACACGTGGATGGTGGCAGTTTGTGGACACGTGGATGGTGGCAGTGTTGGGACACGTTGATTGTGGCAGTGTTGGGACACGTGGATGGTGGCAGTGTTGGGACACGTGGATGGTGGCAGTGTTGGGACACGTGGATGGTGGCAGTGTTGGAACACGTGGATGGTGGCAGTGTTGGGACACGTTGATGGTGGCAGTGTTGGAACACGTGGATGGTGGCAGTGTTGGGACACGTTGATTGTGGCAGTGTTGGGACACGTGGATGGTGGCAGTGTTGGGACACGTGGATGGTGGCAGTGTTGGGACACGTGGATGGTGGCAGTGTTGGGGCACGTGGATGGTGGCAGTGTTGGGACACGTGGATGGTGGCAGTGTTGGGGCACGTTGATGGTGGCAGTGTTGGGACACGTTGATGGTGGCAGTGTTGGGGCACGTGGATGGTGGCAGTGTTGGGGCACGTTGATGGTGGCAGTGTTGGGACACGTTGATGGTGGCAGTGTTGGGACACGTTGATGGTGGCAGTGTTGGGACAAGATGGTGCCTGTCCTCTCACTGATGTCAGTTTGTTGGGACACGTGGAGAGAGGCAGTGTTGGGACACGTTGATGGTGGCAGTGTTGGGACACGTGGATGGTGGCAGTGTTGGGACACGTGGATGGTGGCAGTGTTCGGACACGTGGATGGTGGCAGTGTTGGGACACGTGGATGGTGGCAGTGTTGGGGCACGTGGATGGTGGCAGTGTTGGGACAAGATGGTGCCTGTCCTCTCACTGATGTCAGTTTGTTGGGACACGTGGATGGTGGCAGTGTTGGGACACGTGGATGGTGGCAGTGTTGGGGCACGTGGATGGTGGCAGTGTTGGGACACATGGATGGTGGCAGTGTTGGGACAAGATGGTGCCTGTCCTCTCACTGATGTCAGTTTGTTGGGACACGTGGATGGTGGCAGTGTTGGGACACGTGGATGGTGGCAGTGTTGGGGCACGTGGATGGTGGCAGTGTTGGGACACGTGGATGGTGGCAGTGTTGGGGCACGTTGATGGTGGCAGTGTTGGGACACGTTGATGGTGGCAGTGTTGGGGCACGTGGATGGTGGCAGTGTTGGGACACGTGGATGGTGGCAGTGTTGGGGCACGTTGATGGTGGCCGTGTTGGGACACGTTGATGGTGGCAGTGTTGGGACACGTTGATGGTGGCAGTGTTGGGACAAGATGGTGCCTGTCCTCTCACTGATGTCAGTTTGTTGGGACACGTGGAGAGAGGCAGTGTTGGGACACGTGGATGGTGGCAGTGTTGGGACACGTGGATGGTGGCAGTGTTAGGACACGTGGATGGTGGCAGTGTTGGGGCACGTGGATGGTGGCAGTGTTGGGACACGTGGATGGTGGCAGTGTTGGGACAAGCTTTTGTATGTCATCAAAATTCGAGGGACCTACAGTTAGACAAACTCATATTTCGAAACTGAGATTGCAAATGATTACCACTGCTAAATGGATCAATATCATCGGCCTCTCGTTGTGTTCACGTATATTAATTTATGACAAAAGAAATTAATAATATATTTTAAATTTAAATCGATTTCAGTCCAATACACCGCAGGAGATTATTTTATCCGATCGCTTAATCGTCGTCTTCACTTGAAATCACTCACGGTCATGTCAGGAACTGGGTAGCCAAGTGCTGGCTTTATTCGCTCTTCACGCTGAGAACACGTGTCCGATCTGAATCATGTATGTCTGATGCCCTTTCTTGGTGTTACCCACCGTAAGAACCGACGAAAATAAGGATCGAGTGAACACGTGTGGCCCCCATTGACTACAAGTCAATGGCGGTGTAGATTTTGCTCACGCCTCGCAACATTGCAGCTATATGACAGCGGCCTGGAAATACTCGAGTCTGGACCAGACAATCAAAAGATGAGCATCAATCTACGCAATTGGTAGACGATGACATGCTTCAACCAAGTCAGCGAGCCTGACCACCCGTCCTGTTAGTCGTCAAGGGTGGGTTGCTGAAGACCAATTCCTTCCTGTGGGATCGATGATCGTACTGTCACACATTCTGCTGAAGTAGGCACGGGATCCAGTCTTCGAAGGCGCCGCATTTCGCTGTTTTGCCCCCCTTGGACACGGCAGAAACCTATGATTGTGGGTTCGAATCCCGGTTCGCCCCGATTATGTTTCTAGGTTTGTCAGAACCATACCCCTGCTCGTGGGTTTCACCGAAGTGGTAAACATCTGAGACCTGCATCACTTCGGGCTTTCCTCCCACATGAAGATGACACGCCATGATATTACCAGAACATTATTAAAAGCGGCGTAAAACACAACTCATACACATATTCTGCTAAAAATGACATAAAACCATGCTCAATCACAGCACTGCACAAAATTGCATGAGCCATTTACAAATACTTCGAAGAGATCTTTATACAAAGAAATTCATTCAACGTGTTGATGTTAGAGACCATGAAAAGACGTTTCACAGCTCGACAAACCGCGGACACTGACATAATTGGTGTTTTCATTCTGTCGAAGGCGTTAAAAGAACATTTCTACAACCATTCCCCTAAAGGTATTTTGTTTCCATGTAAGGTTCTGACGAGCGTATACTTGGTTGAAGGGCAATTCCACACTCCAGGGAACATAAACACAATATAACCAATTGGCTGCTGTTTATTGAACAAGAGTATGATATGTTTACAAACTGAACAAATACGTAATTGCACAAGCTAACTGTATACCAAAACAAACAGTTAAATGAAAAACGACTTTCCTATCGCACGTAGATCAAAGCGAGCCGTTTCACAGACCTCCCGAATCGTTTATACAAGTACTGTAACTCTCTGAAATAACACGACTAAGTCAGTTTTCAACTCAACCGATAAATAACTTGAATATACTCACCGACGGTGAAAACTGAAAATAGCAAACATATATTAAAACATACATAGACAAATGTTGGCTGGCTTATCAAAATCACCAATCTAGCCTGCCAACATGACGAATGTCTATAACGGTAAACCTGATCGTATACCTTTAAAATGTGTGTGTGTGTGTGTGTGTGTGTGTGTGTGTGTGTGTGTGTGTGTGTGTGTGTTGGTTTGTTGTTTAACGCCACACCCAGCAATATTCCAGCTATATGACGGCGGTCTGTAAAAAATCGATTCTAGACCAGACAATCCAGTGATTGACATCATGAGCATCGATCCACACAACCATGGGTTGCTGAAGACCTATTCTAACCCGGATCTTCACGGTTCGTTTGTGTGTGTAAGGGAGATATACTTTTGATCAAGACGCGCTCGTAACGCCAAAGATCCTGGTTCGAATCCAGACTTGGTTACTATTTGTGAATCCCAATGTTGTGATACAAACGGACGAGCACCAAGTTGTATACTCCCTAGGGAGCTGAGAATGAAAATCAAGTGCACGCTGATCCACTGACCAGGAGAATAATGTAGCGTTTCGAGCGTGCTTTACGTTGTGGAGTTGGCTCAAAATAGATATGCACATTATTACTGAAAGCGGCGAAATACAATTCTCACTCCTCCTGGAACCTGAACTGGAGTTATAGAAAGTACAAGGAAATCTTGATTGAAATCTGGGGCGGTCGGGTAGCCTAGTGGTTAAAGCTTCGTCGCGCCGAAGACCCGGATTCGAATCCCGACATAGGTACAATGTGTGAAGCCCATTTCTGGTGTTCCCCGCCGTGATATTGCTGGATTATTGCTAAAAGCGCCGTAAAACCATCCTCACTCACTCACTGATTGAAATCTAATCACAAATCGGAAGAGTGAGTGAGATTTCCTTCGCATTTAACAATAATTCAACACTGTCGTCTCAGGGTAGGCCTAGAATAGCCTTGACGTATTGTACCTTTGTAGGTGTCGAACCATGGATTACTGTAGAAGAATACATATCCATCGGCTAATAACAGTTATAGAACATGAGTAAGCACAATGGAACCTGCCTTGACCTTTCCACGGGATGAACCGAGTCTAGCCTGAAGCTACCCCTGCTGCTGAAGTCGATGGTACCTTTTGGCAAGGAAAGATACATAAGTTGTGTTTTTGTGATGCTGGCAGTACCGTTGCTTACAAATCAAGATGTCCACGTGGAACAGGTGGCTTGCAGAAGTCTACAGCGCTATCGATATATCCCAACAGATCTTAAGATACATTCTTCATGCACAATAGCTTTCTTGGGAAGAATAGGTTTGGAGTAGACGATTACAAAGGTCTAAAAGAAATGGTGCATGCATTATGGAACACTCAAACAATGAAAAAACCTGCCAAAAATGTCTTGTAAACGTCCTGAGTGGCTTGGAACAGAGAGAACAGTCCATTACAGCGACACCCCGACATTTAGGACCGTCCCGATATAGTTTGTTTGTTTATTTGTTGTTTAACCCCGCACCCAACCCAAGTCAGCGAGCCTGACCACCCGATCCCGTTAGTCGCCTTTTACAAGCATAGTCGCCTTTTACGGCAAGCATGGGTTGGTGAAGACCCATTCTACCCCGGATCTTCACGGGTCCTTCCCGATATAAACTGAGGGGCAAAAGAAACTATATCGAGGTTGTTTTTATGTAATTGAAACTTGAAATGTTGTTAAATTTAGTTGGTAATTTTGTGTAAAAATACATTGGTTCATTGAAGAGTGGGTAAGAAATGAATTTGCAATCACATGACCCTACCATGTTTGAAATGTTGTACTTCGTGCCGAAAAAAAACCAAATTTATTGATTATCAAAGATAAGATGTCTAAGGTACCCATCAACAGTTAATTTGATTGGCTACGCTACCAGGTCTAACGTACCAATCAGAATGCGAGTTACAAACGAGCTTCAATGTTGGGTTGCCGATATCAACATCATAGCGGCCATTGGCTACGATAGAGTTTGCGAGGATTTCAACGTTTAGGAGGAGAAAGGATGTCTTCATGTCCATAAAAAACTGATTGCTTCCATTGCGGTGGCTTTGGTTTCTATGCACTTGAGTTACCTCTCTTACCAATTTCCTTTTTCCTTATCTCGACGTTTGATTGGTCGGTAAAATCTTAATGAAAATCAAGGGCAGGTAATTTAAGATTGCGAAATGCGTGCCATGGGATAAAGAGGATGTTAAGTCCCTGTTTTTTATTAAATCGTGGATTAACGCATCTCGCATATATTATACTGCCCCTTTCAATATAGAGGCTATCAACGGTAATTGGTTCATAAGGCGGAAGGTCCGGTCGGGTAAAAGAGCATTCGGTATACATTACTAATTTGGTATGCTAATTCCAAACACAAAGTATATATATTTGTTTATTTGAACGCAGCCCCAATACATGTTCCAGCTATATGTTGGGTCTGTAAAAAATCGAGTCTGGACCAGACAATCCAGTGATTGACATGAGCATCAATCCACGCAATTGGGATCAATGACATGCATCATCCAAGTCAGCGAGTCTGACCACCCGATCCCGTTAGTCGCCTCTTACAACAAGCCTAGTCGCCTTTTATGGCAAGCATGGGTTGCTGAAGACGTTTTCTACCCCGTAGCCTCACAACGGCAGGGGAAAAACAATTACCTATTTGTATTTCAGTTAAAATTTCAAACTATTAGTTTACGCTCCTACGCGTCAGTCAGAGTAACCTCCCATATGAAGGTGAAGCAAAAGGTTGGAATGCAAGAAAACCCCAATAGTATGGAATCTGAAAATCAAGCGGAATCGGATGAACATATAAACACGAATAAATAAACGTGGGCAGAATGCCGTAGCCGGAAATATCGATATCAGTTGCGCCTGACGCAGCTCTGGAACGCACCATCTTCTCCTTTGAGATTCCAAAATACCACAGCGGAAACTTCGCTTTTACCTGTG